TATCACTTCTACCTTCCTTATTCTACAATTTAAAAATAAATGACTTGATGAACTGGCCGCGAGGACACTCAGCACTTCAGGAGGAACGGGCACGCGTTGAAGGATGGCATGTCGCACCGGACCGCTCCGCGGCGGCTGTCTCGAGGGCGGTTCTCTTGTTCCACGGCTCCACGCCCAAAGCTGTCAAGTGGTGAGATGACACTTTTAAATGACCACGAACCGAGATAAGGACCTCTAGGCCCTTTCTTTTCAGTTTGAGGTCCCGGCAGCTCCCGGGACGCAGCCTGCAGGATGTCCTGGAAGCTGGGATCGTCTGTCCCCTCCTGGGGTGCCTTCCCTCTGCCAACTCCCCAAACCCCTCGGCTTTCCTCTGGAAGCCCCGAGCCTGCGCCCTACGGTGCTGCCTGTTGTCCCCTGGTCCCTTGGTGCGCTGGAGGGGGGCCCACACCTTGGGTCCGCCGACGGATCCCCTCATCATTGCCGCAGTCCCTGTCTAGACGCTCCAACGATTGCCGTCAACCAGGGGACCCCCCATAGTTACAGGATCCCAGTGCGCCTCGCAAGGGAAAGCCCCCAGCTACTGAGGCCAACAGCGTTCGCAGGCGACGCAACGGTGGGTGGCCAGGCAGGTGGTCCCCAAGCGCGGACAACAAGCTGTGGGCCGTCGTCACCACGGCCCCATCCCAGGAGTGGCTCTGCGGGAGAGCTATCTCCTCACGCTGCAAAATCCAGATGGTCGAGACTAATAAAATCATGCATCCATGTCATCTCTCCCTCACGCTGTCATCATCAGTGCCTGGCCGCTGTGCCGCCCACCCCCAAACCCATCCTTTCCCTGCGCCGGCCGCCGGGCGGTCAGCCGTTCTCGCATTCCACCCGGAGCTGGGGCTTCCTGCGGCAGCCCGCTGGGCCAACACTTTGGGGGGACACAACAACCACCTGCCTCCTTGAATTCCGACTCTACAAGTCTTAAAGGGTGAGTCAGGCGGCACCTTGCCTCGAGGTCAGAGAGTTCGAAACCAATCCTGAGCAGAGCTAAGGGACCCGTCTCTACTAAAAATAGAAAAGATTAATTGTGTAGACTAAACATATAATAGGAAATTAGTCGGCATGGTGCGCATGCCTGTAGTCCCAGCTACTCGAAGACTGATTGCAGGAGATTCACTGGAAGCCCAGATGTTTGAGTTTGCTGAGCCAGGCTGGAACGCCATGGGGCACTCACTCTAGGCCTGGGCAAACAAAGCGGACTCTGTCTCAAAAACAAAACATACATAAATATGAAGGAGGCAGGTTGTAATTCGCGGGTAATATGGGAATTTGCTGGCTGCGGTATACACCCTACTATTACTAATATATATAATATATAGTATATATCCACCTCTGACCTCCATGTCCAGCAATCGAGAACAAGCATGGGGGAGGGACCGAGTATGAGGAGGCTGCTGTTGGAGCAATCAGGGAGGACTTCTTGGAGGCAGTGACCATGCAGGTAGCGTGCCCCAGGCAGAGGGGGCAGAAAGCTCCCCCCTCTCAGCTCTGCACTCTACTTCCTGGCCTTCACCCAATGCAACACACGTCAGTTTTCCAGGAACTCCTTACAGAAAGTGACTATGTCCGTTCACCCCTGCAGCCCTGGCTGCCCCGCCTCACCTCTGCGCAGGCGGCCCGTCCATGATGATGTTGATCCACAGGATCTGCATGGCGTTGAGGGGGCTGGGCAGGTTGAACACGGTGGACAGGGCGATGAGGCTCAGGGCCGAGATGCTCCTGCGGGCCCGGACGCCGGCCGTCAACGGCTGCCCCCACGCGGCCCCGAACCCCCCCGGGAACGCGGGCCGCTACTCACGTGCTCAGCTGGAACCGCACGAAGTTTTTGATGTTGTGGAAGATGCCCTTGCCTTCCTCCACGGCGTTCCTGCCAGGGGAGGGGGACGGTCACTGGGGGAGGCACAGCCCGCTTGGCGGCTGCTCCGCGGAGCCCGGGGGCAGGCTCAGGGACACGGCAGTAGGAGGTGACGTCGCCCCAGCACACACCCACCAGCCCCCGGGGACGGGTCCCCGAGCCCGTCAGCCTGTGCACGGCGTACGCCCGACCCCTCTAGTGAGACCCAGGTTCCTCTCGTCCTGAGCCCACACGCCCCGCCCCGGCCCCTGGCGCGCTTAAGGCATGTCCCTGACTTACCAGGGACGAGACGCAGCAAAACCGACTAAACCCGGACAGGAGACCCGGGGTGGCACAGAGAGGGAGGGCGTGGGGGCGGGAGGCGTCACCTGCCTGGGTCTTTAGAAAGCTCTTTGCAATGCAAAGTCCTTTCAAAAACGTGGCCTGAGTAGTAGGAAAAACTGTCTAACCTCTACCCCACATTGTTACTAAAAAATTTTGCAAGAGAATTAAAACTGTAGAGTTATGACTGTATGTCTTACTCATTCATTTGTTCTTTTTGAGACAGAGTCTCACTCTGTTGCCCAGGCTAGAGTGCCATGGCGTCAGCCTAGCTCACAGCAACCTCAAACTCCTTGGCTCAAGAGATCCTCCTGCCTCAGCCTCCGAGTAGCTGGGACTACAGGCATGCGCCTCCACGCCCGGCTCATTTTTTCTATATATTTTTAGTTGCCTAGCTGATTTCTTTCTATTTTTAGTGGAGATGGGGTCTGGCTCTTGCTCAGGCTGGTCTCGAACTCCTGACCTTGAGCGATCCTCCTGCCTCAGCCTCCCAGAGTGCTGGGATGACAGGCTTGAGCCCCCGCACCCGGCCACTCCTGCCTCGTGCCCTTGGCTACTGAGGGTGGCTCTGGGTTTTCCTTACGCATCGTGCACGGCTCCTGCCAGGAGGCCCAGTTGGGTCCCCGAGGGGCCGGTGGGGAAACACGCAGGCTGCTCGGTCGAGTCCTGCTCCAGGAGTCCCTGACGTTTCCCTGGGTGCCGCGTGCGGCCAGCCCCAGGGGGAACTGGCCCTATGCCCCGACTTTGAAGGCGGTGACGCCGGCCACCGCCACGAGTCTTGAGGTTCAGCAACCCCTGGGGACGCCTCCCGTCCCTGTATCTCCACGGCGGCAGGTCCCGGGGGAGCGGGTCTCCCAGGCACCTTTACAACCAAACGTCTTCCCCGAGAGCGGCTTACATGACGGCCGAGAAGTCATCGTCCACCAGGATCATACTGGCGGCCTCTTTACTGACGTCCGTCCCCGTCTGCCCCATGGCGATCCCGATGTCCGCGGACTTCAGGGCCACCGCGTCGTTCACCCCGTCCCCGGTCATGGCCACGATGGCCCCCGACTGCTGCAAAGCCTTGGGGAGGAGCAGGCGAGAGAGGCCTGCAGGACCCGCCCCGGTCCCTCCTCCCCTCCGGACGCCCTGCTGCGCCACACACCGGGTGGCTCAAACTCAGTTTACCCATCTGCAAAGTGGGAGCAACGAACCCAGCTTCACAGGGCTGTTGCGAGGCCCAGACTAAGACAATGGACGTGACCGTGCCCAGCACTGTCGAAAGAGGCTCATGAAGCTTGTCCCCTGCCATTAATAAATGATAATCTGAAACCGCGAGGGGCCCGGTAAGTGCTGACAGTTTCCCTGAGCAATGACTTGCGGAGGGATTGACTCTGCAGAACTAAAAAGCGTAACACAAAAGAAAAATCGTAACTGCTAAGGAGTTCGAGAGCAAACTGTCAAAGTGCACGGGCAACAGCACCAAAAACATTTTCTGGCTCTTTCACTTTTTTGACGCACAGTCAGCTCTTTACTGGGCACTCGCCGTGTGCCAAGAGAGTCACAGGCCTGGCTGTGTTTAATCCTCTCGCCAGCCTTGCAGATCGACTGGTGTCTTTAATAGTGTCCCTGTTTTACAGATGAGGACATTAAGGCCCAGAGTTAAATGGCAAGACTAACGCCAGGGAGCACGCAGCTGACAGGGGTGGCTTCCGTTTCAGTTTCTTCCTTTATCTAATTCCAGCTCCTCGTTTTCGGTGCCTGTGGCAAACAGCCCCCCGGTTCTCCCCTCTCTCTCTCCTAATAGGCCCCCAGGTTTAGTGCCACCCAGCTAGAGTTGACACTTCCCAGCATCCCTTGCAGCGAGGCCTGGCCACGTGGCTGGGTCCTGGCCCACGGGCTGTGAGCACAGTGAGCGGCGACTCCCGAGCCCCGCCCTCCAAGGGGGGACCTGCCTGCCCCCCAGCCCGCCTCATCCTCCTCCCGCTGGCCGAGGAAAGGAACCCCCGGAGCGGCCGCCTTGGACCAGAGAATGAGCCGCGGTGTGGCCCCGTTACGTGGCACAGCGGGTGCCTCCCCCGCCCCGAGTACCTTTATGATCTTGAGCTTGTGCTTCGGGCTGGTCCTGAAGAACACAGACACCTGGGTACAGAGAAGCGACAGAGCAGACAGTCACGGAGGTTGGAGCTGGAGGCCCACCCACGGATGGAGGTCGGAGCTGGAGGCCCACCCACGGATGGAGGTCGGAGCTGGAGGCCCACCCACGGATGGAGGTCGGAGCTGGAGGCCCACCCACGGATGGAGGTCGGAGCTGGAGGCCCACCCATAGATGGAGGTCGGAGCTGGAGGCCCACCCCACTTCCCCCAGCTGGTCTCCGGGGACTCCACCTTCGAGACACGATCAGCCAGCTGGTCCTTCTCCACGCTGTCCACCTCCTCCCCGGACATGGCGTGCAGCTTCCCGTTGGCCAGGCCGATGTTTCGTCCTTTAGGGAGAATCGGTTCTGAGGGCCTGAGACCGCGGCCCCCCACCCTCACTCCAGTCCCCATCGTGGCCACGGAGAACAAGAACAAATCCACGAGGATGCCGTTCACCGGGCACCTACTACGTTCCTCAGTGATCTCGGTCCATCCACGCTAACTTACGACAAGCGCCTTACTATCCCCACTTTAGAGATGGGGAAAGAGAAGTGACTTCCCCAAGGACTTTAGAGATGGGGAAAGAGAAGTGACTTCCCCAAGGACTCTCGGTGCGTAAGCAGCAATAACGGAGCCTCGCTGTTGCATGGTTCTGTTTCATTCCGATGCCTATGACCTTTTCGTGGCTCCAGGTTGCCGCAATCGGGGAACAAAAACCAAGGGGTGGCAACCCTCATAACGGCAGTAATTAGAGGAGGAGGGGGAGGGCGGCTAGCTCTCTGCTGATGAAGGGACAGAGGGTCAGAGTGGTTCGGTGATTTGCCAAGAATGCACAGATAGTGGCAGAAGCCAGGCTGAATCTGTACGGCAATCTGCACACGATGCTGCTTTGGGAATGAGGTGGGATCACGGGTAAACTGAGGCTTAGCAGGGCCTCGGTGTACACGGGGACTCTTCCCCTCTTGGAGAACCTGCCAACGTTTTGGAAACGCGAACACCCAGGAGTTGGAGCGCTGGCCCACAAATCCCGGAATCTTCTCCGAGCCCATAGAGCCAGCGCGAGCCCTCCCGACCAGGGTCGCCCGGGACCGAATGGTGGCAGCGGCCCCGTCGTAAGGGACGCGGAGTCCTCTCTTCCTCGCCGCGGTTACCTATGGCCAGGGCGGTCTCCAGAGCGTCTCCCGTTATCATCTTCACGGACACCCCCGACGCCGAGAGCACCCGAACCGCGTCCTTCACGCCGGCCCGCGGCGGGTCGATGATGCCCACGAGGCCCAGGAAGGTCAGCCGGCCCAGCTCGGGCCCCGACGCCAGCGCCAGCACTGCGGAGAGACCCCGGCCCCGCACAGTCACCGGGCGCGGCGTCCTGCGACCCCAGCCAGCCCCGCCTCCGCCCGGACCCTCCTCTGTCTGCTGGGGCGTGGGTGGCACCTTCCCAGACAGGCGGGAGGACAGACAGCTCCCGGTGGCTCTCAGGCTGCACGGGTGTCCCCGAACAGAGGGGGCGGGGACCCGCCTGCGCAGCAGGAATCCCGCCCTGCCCCCAACAGCAGCGGCCACGAGACGCCCGCAGGAGGGGCCGTTTCTTGCCTTCACCTCCGCTGCGCCCCCTCCTTTTGTCCCCTCCTGCGGACTGGGGGTAGCAGCTGCCAAATGTTTAGGGAAGTCTCCCGGAGAGCCGCACGCTGGGAGGACTGCCGCTCTGGCCTGCCCGACCCGGCTCCGTTCCGCGGCGCGGAGGCCAGGCCCGGCTGCGGGGTGCCGAGCGGTCTGAGATGGGGGCGTGACCACTTGGCTACCAGCGTCACTGCAGGCAACAGACGAGGGCGCACAGCCCAGCGTCGACTTTAGCCGACCGCCGTCATGTGACTTCTCAAATTTTGCGTTTATCTAAATACAACTGTGAACATTCAGAAATAACGCAATGAAAACGTGCGTGTCCCTGTCACCTATTCTGATTGGCGTGGCAGGGAAAGCTGCCTGCGAAGTGAAACGAGCTCTCGGTGCCTTCGAGCTCTCCGCGTCACGCAAGAGCAAGACGGACCCGTCGTGGACGCGCGGCACAGACCGCCGTGGGGACGGTGGGCACCGGCTGCGGGCGAGGCGACACGGCCGGTGAGCCCCAAACCCGAGCGGTGAAAGGACGGCCTTCCCGCGTCACCGTCCCGACACCGAGGGGGCCGTGCCCGGGCAGCCTCTCCGAGCAGCCCCGTCCGACGCAGCCGTGGCACTTGTGCGAGTGGCGCTGGCGACGGGCTGAGGACCCGGCTCGGCCGCGTGGCCGGTCCCCAGGGGAGCTGGCGCTGAGCCCAGGCCCACCTGGCTGCCCCGCGCCGAAGACGCGTGGGCACTCGTCCTGCGGGCCTGCCGCAGACCTGGCGCTGCACAGACACTCGGGGGCGGGGGTAGGACTCTGAGGTGTATGAAGTGGCCCTGCTTTGGGGCACACATGCTTCTCTCGGGAAGAGGGGACAAACGCCAGCGGGCCGCGAGGGCTCGTGCACGCAGAGGCAAGTCCGCTGGCAGCTCGGAGGGCGGAGCCCTGCGGGGAGGCCGCGGCTGAGGGTCAGGACAGGGCAGGCCCAGCCCTCGGCTCCCCGCCAGGGGATGCAGGGGTCTGGAGCGTTTTCAAACCCTCTCTCTGAAACCGGGCAGGGTGACAAGGGACGCCACGGGGAACGTGAGTTTAACGTTCAGCCCGTCTCGGGAGGCAGTGGCTCCGGCGCAGAAATTGGAAATGGCCAAGGGATGGAACGTGTCCCTCGACTTGGGACACCCCTGGGTTTTCCAGCAAGAGGCCAGGAGCACCCGGACGCGGTGGCTCACGCCTGTCATCCCAGCACTCTGGGAGGCCGAGGCGGGAGGATCGCTCAAGGTCAGGAGTTCGAAACCAGCCTGAGCAAGAGCAAGACCCGTCTCTACTAAAATTAGAAATTAATTGGCCAACTAAAAGCATGTAGAAAAAAAAAATTAGCCGGGCATGGTGGTGCATGCCTGTAGTCCCAGCTACTTGGGAGGCTGAGGCAGGAGGATCGCTTGAGCCTCGGAGTGTGAGGTTGCTGTGAGCGAGGCTGACGCCACGGCACTCACTCTGCCTGGCAACAGAGTGAGACTCGTCTAAAAAAAAAAAAAAGGCAAGGAGCAGAAGGACCTACCGGGACCGTCCATGTTTGGGTGTGCCCGTCCGCCTGGCCTAGAAAACTCAGACACGTGAGCCACGTCCAGAATAATGGGTGTCATTTAGCGGCTGGGACTTGGGGGTGCTGTCTTTCATCTGACCATGAAGTTCCGACCTCGCTTCGCTGCCGCCAGCGCGCTGCCTGACAGCCCTTCCCGGGGTGGCCTTACCCACTAGGGACCCTGCACGAACGCACCCCCAGTCAGTGTTACGTGCAAAGGCCGAGCACTGACCCCGCAGGCCGAGCGACCCCATCCTCTTCTCCTCCTCCGGCAGGCAGAGCGAGCGCTGCTGGGGCGTCAGCGGCAGGGGGATGCCCCCGTGGTTGTACGTGGTGCAGTGGCGGACCACCTCCTCGAAGGCCCCCTTCATGAAGTACACGTCTTCCCGGTCCTTGCAGGAGACAGAGGGAGAAATCTGCCGTCATTGGCCACCCCGGTTCCCAGGGACCGTCCCCTCGTTGTGCACAAGGGCACCAAGTCGTGCACGGGCAATCGCAGTGGAGTCACTGCCCGCGGCCAAGTGCTGCTCACGGGCACGGGTGGAGCGGGCAGGGGAGCTGCAGATCCAGGCCGGGTGGCGCGGCGGCTCACGCCTGTCATCCCAGCACTCTGGGAGGCCGAGGTGGGAGGATCGCTCGAGGTCAGGAGTTTGAACCAGCCAGAGCAGAGCGAGACCCCGCTCTCATAAAATAGAAAGAAATTAATCGGCCAACTAAAAATAGAAGAAAAAATGAGCCGGGCATGGTGGCGCATGCCTTCGTCCCAGCTACTCGGAGGCTGAGCAGGAGGATCGCTTGAGACCAGGAGTCTGAGGTTGCTGTGAAGAGGCTGAGGCCACAAGCACTCTAGCCTGGTGTGAGAGTGACTCTGTGTCAAAAAAAAAAAAAAAGTTATAGTTCCACATGGGACGTGAAAGGAATGAGGTGCTCTTGACCGGCACCGCCCTCATTCTACATTCAGTGGGCTCGTGAATGTCACTCAGAGCTTCCTGAATGTGTCAATAATCAGAGGTGTCCCGGCTGGTGCTGCACATCCGGGCACATGACTCATTGTTGGCATTGAGGGCAGACTGTCACCTCTCAAGGCGGGCACCTGTCTGTCTCGTTCCCTCCTACTCTCGGCTCACAAGAGTGAACCCAAGTAAATATATTTTCCTGTGTATGTTATGTAATACATATAATGATTTATATTTAGTTAGTTATAAGACAGAGTCTCTCTCTGTCGCCCGGGCTAGAGTGCCGTGGCGTCAGCCTCGCTCACAGCAACCTCAGACTCCTGGGCTCAAGCGATCCTCCTGCCTCAGCCTCCCGAGTAGCTGGGACTACAGGCATGCGCCACCACGCCCGGCTAATTTTTTCTATATATTTTTAGCTGTCCAATTAATTTCTTTCTATTTATAGTAGAGACAGGGTCTCGCTCTTGCTCAGGCTGGTCTCGAACTCTTGACCTTGAGCGACCCTCCCGCCTCGGCCTCCCAGAGTGCCAGGATGACAGGCGTGAGCCCCCGCGCCCGGCCCCTGTATTTTTATTTAGATCTGTCTTGACAAACATGTAGCCTGTGGGCTCCAGGTGGCAGGTCCTGGGTCAGTCAGGTGCACGCCAGGTCCCCAGCGTCACCGCGGCGCCTGCCTGGCCCACAGTGGGCACACTGTGAACATGGCGGACGAGCTTGTGTTAACTGCCACAGACGGTATCTAAGATGTAACACTAAGGCGAAGTTTCACAGGAAAAAAGTTCAAACACTACACATAACATGACCTTGTCTTGAAAACTGCCACCACAGGTGTTGCTACACACACACTTCTAATCTGGAACATTCTATCCCAGGCTGTCCAGGGAGTTAATTTAGGTGGTGGTGGGGAGGGAGGAAAGAGAAGTGGAATGATAAACCGTTTTCATTTTTCAAGTCCTATTCTCTGTACTTTTCCAATGAGACTATGTCACCACTGCCTTTGGGAAAAAAAGATTTAAAGTTATAAATTTTTTAAAAAAATTTATAATCGCTTTAAGTACTCAGAATCTACACGTCCGTCCACGCACGGCCAGGCCTGGAACGAGCTGGCCAGGCCGCCCGCGGACCAGAGCGAGAGATGAGCTGTCTGCGTAGACAGACGTGATAGATGCTAGAGAGAATGGGGGAGGAGGGGAGGGTTGGAGAAAAGGGTAGAAGGCAACTCTTTTTTAAAAAGGAATGTTTTTCAATGAAGAATATCTGAAAAACCACAGCAAATCTAAAAAGGAAAATAAAAGAAAATAATCAGCCATCATCCCACGCAGGGGTGGCCATGAATCTCGGGGTGAGTGTTCCTCCAGTCAAGACAGTGTACACACGCTCGTGTGTGATGCCCTTGGGCTGAGGAACAAAGTGTCTGTTCCCCATCACGAAGGTGAAATGAGCCATTTGCATAAGAACTCAGGACCGGGGCGGTGGCTCACACTGTCATCCCAGCACTCTGGGAGGCTGAGGTGGGAGATTGCCTCAAGTCAGGAGTTCGAGACCAGCTCTTAGCGAGGAGCAAGACCCATCTCTACTATAAATAGAAAGAAATTAATGGCCAACTAAAATATATAGAAAAATCAGCCGGCTGATGGTGGCGCATGCCTGTAGTCCCAGCTATCTGGGAGGCTGAGGCAGAGGATTGCGCTTGAGCCCAGAGATTGATGGTTGCTGTGGAGGGCGATGGCTGAGCCACGGACTCATCTAGCCGGGGAGCCAGAGGTAGCTCTGTCTAAAAACAAACTCGGGCAAAGTACGGCTCTCGAGTTACCGTGTTGGGGTCGGAATTGGCAGAGGTGGCAGGTGCTCAGTGCTGGCTCACCGGGTGGATTCTTGTTACGGGGCCAGCAAGTCTCTTTGTTTTATCTGTCTTTCATTCTCGGCCATGAACGTCTCCATATATACTACTATTTGTCCCTGTGTCATCTCTCTTTTCCTGATTGTTGTTCCTTTTTTTTTTCCGACCGTGTGATTTGTTTTTTGGCGTTTGATTTTTCCGTGTATATGTGCTTGTTTTTTTTTCTTATTATTATCCTCAATATTCTCTTTTCCTGTGCTGTGCCCCCGGCCACCCCACTGTTGAGGAACTGCAGTTTTAAACGGAAAAGCTAGAAGACGGCCCAGGGGTCAAGCGTTTTAAAACGATTGCCATCCACGGCGTCTTGGTGCATGGCCGTCTCGAAGTTTTGTGAATTCGTCCTTGGGGGCCTGGTTTGGCATTACTTCGGGTGCTGCATGGGGGAGAGGGCCGACTCACTTCTTTCTTCGGGCTGCACTTGATCCGCCAATGCCACTTCTGCTCCGAGCCTGAACGGAATTCTCCTTGTTTCCTTACGTATTGATTTTTAATTCGGTCGCGTCCAGTTCCATTAGGATCATAAAATGAGCCATTGTATTTTTTGGTATGTAGTCGTGGCGAAGCCATTCTTTATGCCAAAGCTCAGGTCCAGCTGTAAATTTATTCCTTCTTCAAAACTGTCTCCAGCAGTTCCGAGCTCGCGCATAGAGACGCTTATCTTTCTATGTCTCTCCCAGAAAAAGAACCGTCCCTTCTGTCGTGTGGGGTGGGGGCAGAACCGATGGACTTTGCCTGATCTTGTTTCTACTTAAAACCCGCTTTGTAGAACAGCAAACCTGTAGGGTTCCTGCCCTAGAGGAATGTTCTAGACTGGAAGGCACAGCAAGTGCCCACAGAGAAACCGCTGGGTCAGCGAGGTGGCCCTGCTGTAGCCTGGGGCCCTTGCCAGTCCTGATGTTTGTCTGCTCTCTGATGGCTTCGGGGCCAGTCGCTTGACAGCTCAGAACCTCAGTTTCCCCAGTTTTATTTATTTATTTTTGAGACAGAGTCTCACTGTGTTGCTTGGGCTAGAGTGCCGTGGCGTCAGCCTCACTCACAGCAACCTCAATCTCCTGGGCTCAAGCGATCCTCCTGCCTCAGCCTCCCAAGTAGCTGGGACTACAGGCATGCACCACCATGCCCGGCTGATTTTTTTTCTAATTTTAGTTGTTTGGCTAATTTCTTTCTATTTATAGTGGAGATACACTCACTCACTCTTGCTCAAGCTGGTCTCAAACTCCTGAGCTCAAGCGATCCTCCTGCCTCGGCCTCCCAGAGTGCTGGGATTACAGGCGTGAGCCACCGCACCCGGCCAGTTTCCCCAGTTTTAAACCCGTGATCTAACCACTGCATCCATCACCCCCAGGAGGTGCAAATGGGTTCAGGGTGTTGTTGATAAAACGACTTCTTTTATGTACAAAGCTCAGATGTGCACACGGCACACGACCAGATACACGGTATATCTGTGGTCTTAAATTTCACGGGGTGGGGAGGGGTGGCGCGGCTAGGGAAAAAGGTCTCTAAAAAGTCTCCTTAAGGGGGTGTTATGGGTTGAACTCTGTCTCCCATAAGACGCGCTGAAATCCTAACCCTGGACCCTGTGCGTGTGACCTCATTTAAAAACAGGGGCTTTGCGGATGGCATCAAGTTGAGGTCATTAGGGTGGCCCTGATCCAGGGTGACCCTATATGAGAAGAGGGAGACCCCCTGTGAAGACAGACACACACGGGGACGGCACCTTGGGACGGTGGCAGGAGTGGAGGGAGCGGCTGTGAGCCAGGGAACGCGGGGGCTGAAGGAAAGACCAGGCGCGCTGGGCACGGAGTGTTCTAGAACATTCCGTGCAGCCACAGAGCTCAGGGTCTAAGGGCCGAGCTCTGGAGTCAGTCGAAGGTGCTGGGAGGAACGGGCCCTCCAGGGTGCCTCGGAGAGAGTGGGAGCCGAGCCCGGGTGCACAGGTGAGTCTTGTCCCCCCGACACCTGGGGGGCTGGGCCATGCGGTGCGCAGAGGATTCCCGCGGGGACTCTGGCGGAGGGTGGGGACCCGCAGAGCTCTCTGAAGCCGCACAGAGGCTCAGAGCCCACCCGGTGCCGCCTGGGGACCCCTGGGGCCACGCTCTGGCACGGGCGCTGCGCTCCCCGACCCTCTTATGGCAGCGGCGAGGGAGAGAAGCCCCAGCACGGACGCCCCGAGTCCCTACCTTCATCGCCAGGGCGACCAGGGCCCCCTCCGTGGGCTGTCCCATCACGGTGTTCTTCCTGATGACAGCGTTGTTGGCGACACAGCCTGCCTGAAAGGGGACAGTCTGAGCCTGTGCTGTTGGTGCCGGGGCCCAGCGCCCCCTCCCAGGCTCCGGCTCGTGGAAAAGTCACGCGTGCAGGCTCAGCCCGGTTTTAGAGCTGAGTCCGCAGGGACGAGACTGGCTCTCAAAACTCAATTCAGCGTCCTGGCCGGGCGAGGCGGCTCACGCCTGCAATCCCAGCACTTGGAGCGAGGCGGGAGATCGCTCCAGTGTCAGCGGGGTTCGAGACAACCAGTGAGCAAGAGCGAGACTCCGCTCTCTAACTATAAATAAGAAGAATATAATTGGCACTGAATATATATACAACAATATTAGCGGGCATGGTGGCACATGCCTGTCAGATTCCCCGCGCCCAGCTACTCGGACGGCTGAGGCAGGAGAATCCGCTTGAG